TTAAATCTGAAAGGTGTGAAGAAATTTGAACACACAGTATGAAATGAGTTCTAATTGAACAGCTTATTTTTAGTGTTAATGAAAGCAGTCTTGTTTTTTCTTGAATTTGTCATAAAAGTCTTAATAAAATCTTAATTTGCATAGCTTTATGTTTCAGTCATGATTTGCTACTAAGACTTTTGTGACTTTAAATACCGTAGGTTAATAGTATCTCAAAATAGATTGGATAAATAGCAGCTTTGAACACAAAACTGAGAGATTTTCTGAAAACTTATGAGATACATACATTGTATATTGGCTTTTGAGATTTTAGGCCCTCTTAAAGGGACAAATAGAGTTGCCTAAGCTGAAGATTATCCTTGAACTGTTCCTCAAATTCCACTCTTGCCGTTCACTCTGGTGGGATACTGAGCTCTTCCAGAGACCTGTGTGTCTGTCGTGGTTTAACCCCAGCTGGCAGCTCAGCCCCACACAGCTGCTCGCTCTTTTTCCCCAGTGGGATGGGGGAGAGAATCAGAGGGATGAAAGTGAGAAAACTCGTGGGTTGAGATAAAGACAGTTTAATAGGCAAAGCAAAAGCCACACACGCAACCAAAGCAAAACAAGGCATTCATTCACAACTTCCCATGGGCAGGCAGATGTTCAGCCATCTCCAGTAAAGCAGGGCTCCGTCACATGTAATGGTTACTTGGGAAGACAAACACCATCACTCTGAATGTCCCCCCTTCCTCTTTCTTCCCCAAGTTTTATTGCTGAGCATGACATCATATGGTGTGGAATATCCCTTTGGTCAGTTGGGGTCAGCTGTCCCAGTCGTGTCCCCTCCCAACTCCTTGTGCACCCCCAGCCTTCTCGCTGGTGGGATGGGGTGAGAAGCTGAAAAGGCCTTGACTCTGTGTAAGCACTGCTCAGCAATAACTAAAACATCCCTCTGTTACCCACACTGTTTCAGCACAAATACAAAACGTAGCCCTGTATGAGCTGCCATGAAGAAAATTAACTCTATCCCACAATTCTTGTGCTAAGGAGGTAACAGAGAGAGGTTTTTTAGAATTTTCTTTTACTAGACAGGATGGCAGCCGTGGAAAATACAAAAAATGTGAGAGAATTCAGTTCTTCAGTTTTAAGACTGCTTAGTTTATTTAGCAAGGCGTAAACAGCCTTATAATGCAATCTGTGATAGGCCTATTACTAGGAAGAGGCAAAGGGCAGGAGCTAATTGCAGCCTACAACTACTTGAGAGTGGGGACCTCACAAGGACCGTAGAGTCAAGCTCTTCCCAGCAGTGAAAGATGATAAAACACAGAGCAATGGCCACAAGTTGCAGCCCTGGGAGGTTTAGACTGAGAATTAACAGAAGTATTTCTTTAGATGGGAAGTCCAGCACTGGAGCAGACTAACCGGAGATGTCGAATCTCCAACCTATACCATAAGGTAATGGCTGACCTGATCAGGCAATGGCTGACCTAATCTGGCATTGACAGTAGTCCTGCCCTGAGCAGGAGATTGGCCTGAATGACTTCCAAAAGCTGCCCTTTAACCAACATTTCTAAGATTGTACCTTATCTGTATGAGAAGGTTACACACCCTGGACGTTCTTGAATTGGGTCTCTATTTTGGATGACTTTCAACAGTACTCTCTTTGAAGCAAATTGGGCACTCTCTTAACTACTTTGGAATACATCTAGTGACCATTTTTGTATAAAACTGTACCACGTTTCCTCTTGTACTTGTTTGTGCTTTTCTCTGAGTTAAGCACCTCACCAGTGTTCTGAGCCGGTGTTAATCACATATTAATGAAGCCTGAGTTTCCAGGAGTAATCATCTCAAAAGAGAGGGAAACACATGGTCTGTGGGAGGGCCTCCTGTTTGCCAGATTTCATCAGTTCAGAAGTCAGCGCTGAACTTTCCTCCAGTTTTTTGGAAGAGATGATTTAAACTTTTTGTTAATTCTTCCAGAGGTGCTTGTTGGTTTTTGGTTTTGTTTGTTTGTTTGTTTTTAATAAGTGCTCTATTAGCAAATGCCATTCTAGCAGTGTTTCTGAGGTGAAATTGTGTTAGGAGGTTTTATCTAGACAAAGTAATTGAGAACAACTCTGAACCTCACATAAGGAGAAGTAGAAACATCTCTTTTCAGAGATAGTCCAAAATTCACCTGGCTATAATTAGACTTTTTATTAGATAGCTTGGAGGGTTTTTACTTATGCCTGCCTCTTCAGGGCCTTTTCAGCCACTGCCATGTTCCTGGTTAGCATTCCTGATGGCTGAGATGTACAACCACGCTACCAGGAGTTCAGTTCCTGGGCTCTCACTACTTCCAGCTCCCAAATGATATTCCAGGTTTGTTACAGCTGTTATGCAGTTATTCTGAATAGGATCCTTTGTCACGTTAAGGTGCTTGCTTCTTCATCACACAGATTCATTTCACGTAAATTTAGTAATTTGAAAACTAATCTCTGTGCTGTGTCTATAGTCAAGAGAAAATAGGCAGCTCCAGAGAATGAACCGTGCCATCTATTTAAGATGCCTGTCTTAATGAAAGGATGATTAATTCTCCAGGGCTGCCTATTTCTTTTCACTAACTATAGGAGGAGCCTAGATACCTACCTTGAACTAATGATTTCCATAGCTGAACTTGGGTGAAATGAATTGTGGTGATTTAAAAGAGTCATTTACATGTTCTGCCCATGCAGATTCTACAGCTCTTGCTTGCCTCTCACTCTGAGTCCCCGTAGCTTGGTTCTTATTAGTGAATGAACCCAGCTATTTTATAGGTGGGTTTAATTTGGGTGTAGGGACAGCTTTAGTGTGCATAATCTATATGTATGTGGGCATCAACTTGTAAATCACTCTTCACTATAAGGTACATAACTGATATTTGTGTTTGCATTTTCAACAGAGAATGAATTAAAATTAGGGCTTATTGAAGTACTTATTTGCATTCAATATCTGCATGTGCTTTTGTTTAACAGAAAGGTATGCAAAAATATTACTGATGTTTCAAACTCTCTTATTAGTAATTCATTTACAGGCTAGTCTGTCTGTCTTTAAAAATAAAGGCTTATAATGTTTATATTCTGGAACCAACAGATAAATGAATGAACTAATAAAGCTCACATCTGTGAAACCCTAAGTGATGCTTACCAATTAGTGTTACTACATTAAAAATGGAGAAAAAACCTAAAACCACAAAAAAAAACCATGAAACAAACAAAAAATCAACCCAAAAATCAGTGAAAGAGCCTTGCTGAAGGAGCTTGTATTATTTTTAGTGCTTTTGCATGGTGTGCCTTTAAACATTTTCTCAGTCTGATGACCATATGGCTCCCAAACTCCTTATTTTTCCCTTTAAAAGTATTTTAAACTGAGCTATGCTATTACATCTGTATATGTCTCATTTAGGGTAACTTACACTTTTGGCTAGCAACACTGAAAAATATTTTCCAGCTCTCAAGGTCCAGTCTAACCTTCTTCCATTTTTAAAGCTCTAAATGAGGAGCTGTACTGCACATGTAACTGAAAGTACTGGAGCTGAACATCTCATAAGGAGAAATTCTTGCCAGATTATATATACCTCATCATTTAAGCAGGGCTGGCAGCAGTACAAGAGAAGCTGCTTCTTCAGAAAATCAACTCTTCGGGTTTTCAAAAAGAAATCCACTTGTGTTTGGTGATTTCTTTTTAAGTGTTCTAAATTGAGAGGGAAGGGAAATTTAAGGAACCCCCTTTTTTCTTTGTGTACTATATGTACAGCAAAAATACATAAACTCAAATGGTGCTTTTCATGAGCCTGCCCATTCACTTTGAGTTTGCCATAGAAGAGTTATTGACAGTGAGCTAACTTGGGTGAAATAATTTCTGTGTAAATTTAAACTTGATTTTGAGCTTTGTTTGAAAATTCCAATTTACCTGTTACCTTTACTGGGGCATCTTTCAAATTGGCCAATCTATGCTAGGAAAATTCATTTTGTGCCAGTAGTGATAATTGCATAGAGCATGAAGTGACCCTTCCACTTGGACAAGAGCCTTATTGTTACTTCCAGATGCCATCTGGGTCAATACTGTGGTCTTTGATAGCACACCAGTTTTTTTTCCTAGAGTCTCTCTAAAAACAAGGTGACGTGAAGTGAAGTACCCGTTTTCAGACATCAGTGCTGGGCTGGGGTGGCTGGATGATCACAGTGGAAGGCTGTCAGTCATCGCTTGCCTTTTTGCATTTGGTGGCATTTAGTAGTGTTGACTTCTAGGTAAAAGGCATAAAGCCTTTCTGTTCAAGGCTTTTTTCCTTGATTAATTAGGAGAACCTCTGTTTTACATGGACACTATCATGGAAGTGTCCTGTATTTATATTTGGCTCTAGCATCCTAATGCTGCTTTTTTCCTTTTTGATGAGTTTATTCAGAAAAAAAAGGTGCTTTGTACTTTTAAACAGATAGAACTTTCCAGGTATTAATAGTAAACTTCAAATTAATAGCTGTTGCTGCAAGATCAGAACTTAATATTGAGATATACGCTAGAAGGGTTAATAGTTTGTTTAATGTATTTCTAATGGTATGCAATTCTTTATGCACAGAAATCTAATTGTGAGGTTTTGAAGTGAGATTAGCTGCAGCTAAATCTTTATCTTTTTGAAACTCTCAGACTCATTTGAAACTCTAATACAAACAAATGCTTACTGATATAATTAGATTATAAACAATACATAAGAATAAGACTGGCAAATTGCAGAATTACTTTGCTTATGGGTAAAATTTCATGCTAATAAATTTTAAGATGTAAAATAAAATGCATAAAACACAACACATCAATTTTGCTGTGGAGTGCTGGCTACTGTTAAAGTTTCAGCCAAAGAGAATATTGCGACTGTGTTAGTTTTTCTCTATTTGCAATAAATGGAACTTGTATAGAAAAAAACGTAAATTAGTCTCCCATTTTTTGTCTTCATGTCTTATGTTGTATTTCCATCTTAGAGGTAGAAGGAAAGGGAAACAAGTTTGTTTATAGTCAGTAAAATTGTTAACTGTAGTAAAATATCACCCCTGTTATTAATTTGCACGTATTTCAGCTTTATGTTCATGAAACACTTAAAAATTGAAGTAGTGATAAACATGTTGTTCATGTTTAATCTAAACAAATATAAAAAGGTAGCTATAAAAATATTTAATTATTCAAGGAACTTTATAAAGTACTTATATACCTTACTTCAAGCACAACACTTCTCTGAAGGAAGGAAATTCTATCTTGTACTCAGAGGAGTAATACTGGTCATTCTGTGATCACAAATATGGAAATTTTCAGAAAGTTGACTTACCTGCCAGAGTCCTAAACATCTCTATTGAGTAGCAGATCTAGAGCTATCGCAGGTAACTAATGACATTAACATGGCAAAGTAGTCATATGCAGGTAAAAAGCTGTTGGCCAGGATGTGCTTTTTTCATGTAGCTTTTAAAAAATACTGGATCAAATAACCTTTTTGGAGATGATTATACAGTATGAATTATCTAGCTAAAATTCTCCTCGTTATTCTGTGGGTTCTGTCTTCCAGAGCAGGGCCAGCATTTCCCCTCTCATTTCTTCCCGTCTGCGTGAAAGGGCTGGCACCGCAGCTGAGGCAGCAGCTCCATGCCTCCATGTCCCTTCCCTTCGCACTTGTCACCGCTGCTGCCTCCTGCTTCCCCATCACCTTGTGCCTCTTCTCGGTGCACCCTTGCAGTTCTAGTTACAAAGACATTTTTCTCATCTAGACAGCTGTTCGCTGGAAATTTAACTACATGATGTCATTTTACCTAAATGCTTTGTGCTGTGTTTGTGTAATGTATGAAAACAGTTATGACTAACTCAGGAAATGTTATCCTCCTCTGCATTTCTGTTCCACGGGTATTCCAGGTGATCCCTGACATGCAGGGGCATTTCTCAAAGTCGTGTTTGTTTATTGATAATACTGCAAAGCGAAATGATGATCAATGGGTGCACAGGCAGTTCTGAGCATAAAGTGCAACAATTACGAACACAGATAAATTTTTTGTACCCATAGTATGTAACGTGGCCTGTTTTAATGTAGGAACAATAATTTATCAGTTTTCAGCAGTAGTTTAGTACACTTTTAGCAGCAGACTCAAGTAAGGTACGCTGCAGTTAACACTAAGTTGAAAAGTAAATTTTTCTGTCATTTGTCCTTTTATTTTAAAAGCTTTGTACATACGGAATGCATGAGTTAATTCTGAATGGAAAAGGTCACATTTTAAGAGGATGGTAATAGAGCAACGTATTTTGTGTATTCTTTTCATGAGCAAGTATGATTTCTGGCTTATTCACATATCAATACAATGTCAACTTTGTGCAGTTTTACATAGCAAATGTTTGTTAGTGTGGCGAATTAAAATTATGGTGAGGTAGTAACCAAATTCTTTTTTTTTTTTTACCCAAGGGAGCTACTATTAAAAGGGATGAACATACTGGTGCAATTGTGGTGGCCAGGATAATGCGTGGAGGAGCTGCAGATAGAAGTGGTAAGATGATGTTGCTTGGCACTAGCCATTCAAGTTCTAGAACTCGGAACAAGATGAGGTAATATGGCATATTTTGTAGACATGAAATACATCACTATCACAAACAAAATTATTTGAGGTCTCAACAGTTTTCCAAAGTGATATTTCAATACTGGTGAAAGTATTCATGCTGAATTTTTTTCCCCAATTGAGTTGCAATCAAGTGTCTTTTTGAGTTAGCAGATACAGGGGTTTTTTTGATGTATCATGATTTGTTTCCAGTTGAAGACATCCACTTAGACATGATGGGATATGCCAAGATTACAGCCTGCTGATGGAGGAACTCAGGACAGTTGCTTTACTTTTATATTAGGACATCCACTTGGAGTTTCAGCTGGTAACTCTCAAAATACCAGCACATCCTTGACTGCCATTGTTTAGTTTGGAATGCTCAAAGTCTGCATGAACTCAAGCAAGAGGTCCTGAATTATACTCTAAAATGCCTCTTTTCACTGAAGAGAATCTAGGACAGCTGTGTTTCACACTTAGCTGGGGTAATGGAGTAAATCTAGATATGTATATATATATTGTTAAATTAGCAAGCATTTGTGCCACAAATTAGCACTCACAGCTGAAGTGATCTTTGCAGTACTTGCAGCTGTGTAGCAATAAGAAAGCGGTATGAGTAGAAAAAGAATTGGCACAGACATTTTTCAAATATCTGCATAAAAGTCTGTAAAAGTCATAAAGAAGTGGTACTAATTTTCAGGAGGAAGGAGGGGTGGTGAGTAAACCAACCATTTCAAACTTACCTCTGAGGACAGTAGCTGTTGTGTTCACCATTATTTCTGCTTTTAAGTTAGAGCTTAAAGTGGATGAACAAGGAAGAAAAAAGCTGAATGTAATGACATTTTTTGTATAATACATGCCTACAGTTTAACAACTCTTTTTTGTCTTCTATAGGTCTTATTCACGTTGGTGATGAACTAAGGGAAGTAAATGGGATTCCTGTAGATGATAAAAAACCTGAAGAAATAATACACATTTTGGTAAGTACCAAACATTTTGAAAGTAATTTAGGGAAGTCAAGAAAAAGTAGTTAGACTTACTATTTCTGGTGTATTTCTTAGAAAAAACTGTATTCTACAATAATGCTTTCCAGTGCCATCATTTACGAACCTCTATTTGCTTTCTCTTAAAGAATAATTTTTCCCCTCATTACATATGTGCAATTACAGATTACTTGTAAAGAGCTAATGACAGTAATATGGCTATAAATATGTTGCAGAATGTTGCAGACCTCAATGTATAATCTACAGTTTTTAAGACACACTGTGATCTGCACACTGAACTATTTTAAATGTATTCGTTAATAATGAGTTAACTCCATGTGAAAATCAATTCATAATACATGTACTTGATAGATTATATAACTGTTATATTAAGATTATATTTTATGTGCACTCTCTGAACTACACAGTACTCTAAAGCTAGCCTAATTACTCACTTATGGAGCACTATTGCAAATTACAGAATCATAGAATGGTTTGGGTTGAAAGGGACCTTAAAGATCATCCCGTTCCAACCCCACTGCCGTAGCAAGACCCCCCCTGCCGTAGGCAGGGACACCTTCCACTAGACCAGGTTGCTCAAAGCCCCATCCAACCCAGCCTTGAACACTGCCAGGGATGGGACATCCACAACTTCTCTGGGCAACCTGTTCTAGTGCCTCACCACCCTCATCAAGTAATTTAGACTTTTTCAGAAATATTTAATATTTTTTCAGCAAAGAAACGAATAAGGGTCATGACGGCTCTTTATATTCATGGTGCAGCCATTTCTATATATATAAATATCTTGCTGTCCTGAATTGAGTGGCTGTCTCACAGTTTTAGTTCAATAACCAAGATGATTCATTTCACGTATTAACCCGCTGATGTTCATACTTGCTTTATTG